TTAAAATATTTTTTAAAAGAATTGCATTTTGAAGAATACTGAAATATAGGTCAAAGTGCTTCTCAGATCTCCAGATTATTTCCTTAAATGGAAAACAAATCTCTAGTCCAGTTTCATAAACTCCATAATTCATTTTGAAGATTTGGATTCCTGAAACTGCTGGAATGTTGAAGTTCATCAAGTCTTCAAGTCTCACAGCCAAGCAGCACTTTAACCAATCTTATCTCCAGGAATCAGGACTGTTCCTTTTGTAAAAAGTTCAAGAGTAAATAAAAGGCAAGTATGTTTTCTTGACCTCAACCGAGAGGGAAATATGAGCTTCATATATTAACTCTGGTTCGAGACATATGTACATACAGACTCTACATACATACAGAGCAGTTCAGAAGGTTTACAGCCCTCTGTTTTGTACAGAGTAGAATCTGTGTAAATGCTCTGTGTCTTGCCAGTCACAAGAAGAATTTCTTCAGGTCACCCAGACCACAAGAAATGAGCTAGTATCCTGAAGCTCATAAAAAATACAGGCCTCTTCCAAAATCTCCTTCCATAACCAAATAATTTCAGTGAAGACTAGCAGCAGCTACGAAGTCTCATGCTGAGGTGTGGGTGCCACTTTACAGTGTATTCTGTTAATGATGCCTCTTATCTTGTTGGACTGATGATATCAGCAAATGATGAGATTTCTTCTGCCCAAGAGGGTTAGAAAATACCTACTCCATTGAACTTTAAAAGGCAGACCTGTCAAAGGGCAAGTCCCTTGGGCAGAGAGACTGGATGGCAATAACATCCAGTGTCAGTTTACTGGGACAAGGATATGACCTAACTCCAAATCAGTAGAGAGCAGGTGGCTAGATCAAATTCTTCCCATTACCAATTCTCTTGAAATAAGCTCTATAAAAACTGCTCCTTCAGGACTATATAATATAAAATCTGTGTGTAACAAATACGGATCAGATTGACAATGCAGCTGCAGCTGCTTCGATAACCAGTTAGATCAGGTTCCTCAGCGCTGTCCTTAGGAATCCCAACAATGTCTTCAATGTCCAAAATAAAACCCCAACTACCTGTTCAGTTGGTCCATCCACAAGATGATTTACTGAACTCATATACAACAATAATTGTGCAAAAGTGATCTATATCTCCTTTAAATACACTTCCAAAGCAGACCATATTTCTGCATTGCTTTGTGACAAATGGTCAGTCTAAGATTATACAGTGGATTAAAATACAAAGAAAGAAACAACTACCACTCAGAAGCTATAATGCTGATTAACAGTCTGCCCTATCAACTTCCACACTTGTTTTTACCTTCTGGTACTTGCAAGCAAACATATTTCTCCAGGCTCACAGGTATACTACCAGGAGCCACAAACTTTCAACGCGGGTCCAGTTGGCAGCCCTTCTCAAATCAGAGGCTCCCTACACAACCAGCTATCTCAAAGCTGTATGTTCTACCTTTTCTCAACATCAAACTCTTCAGCAAACATATCCAGAGAAGATATTTCGTAACCATAAACAAATAATAGCTAAATTCAAATCTTGGTGCAATCTAATACTACTATCAGAGAGACTTTTGTCAGCAATAGTGTAATCCAATGATTTATTCTACAAGTTTTACATCAAAACCACCTGGATTATCATCTTTGCTGTATTACAAGCTACAGGCTCAGATATACAAATAAGTAACTATTAAGTCAGAATTTTTATCACACACTAATTGATTTATGGTGACTCTTAGTTGATAACCACCACAAGGTAATTAGAGTTGGTTTAGTCCTCTTCCACTGTGAGTAACAGGCATCTTCTTATTTAGCAAAGACTAAATCAGCTCAACTTAAATCTTGTGTGCTGTAGGTTAAGATCATGCACAGAGACAGTTACCATGGATCAGTACAGGAGCAATAGCTTATTGCTTCATACTAATTTGATTGAATGTTATTCATCAATCAAATTCATTCTGTCATTCACTTATCTTTGCATCTGTTTCCTCATTAATAAATTAAACATAATCCTTCTTTCCTCTTGTCAGTCACTTGATGGTTGTCAGTATTCACAAGGGTTCTGTATTATTATTATACATGCAGTTGAATTACTACACATACTACTGCTTACTAGCCAATTGTTCCACAGTATTAAAAATGAAAGTTGTAAATTTCAGCCAAACTTGTAAAATATGAAAGTCACTTGAAAATAATATAGATAAATTGTTCTTTCATAATTCCATGAAAATTGATTACTATAACAAGAAAAAATCCTCACTCAACCTTTCAAAAACAAGAGAAAAATAAGTCCTCTGATGAACATTAGCTGACAGTGGATACGGATAAATTTAAGCAAATGACTATTTGTTTCTCATAATTTAATAATATTTGGTTTACTCATAATTTTGCCATTCTTCAGAAAGATACAATGAAATGTTTCTGAGCTCCTGTCCATGCATTTCAAGAAACAAACAACCTGTGCTGAAAGGATTTAAGAGGGTAGCTTCATTGTGAAAAGGTCACAAAGAAGTAACAAAGCACTGGCAACTGCAGCACCTTCTGGCTCAGACAGGGGATTTTCCTGCTTGCTTTACTAGTTGATACAGACTGATTCTACTATTCTAATTTCATGTAATAATTTTTATCTGCATTTAACTACAGAAGACTACTAAATTAAATACATATTAAGAAGCTAATATGATTAGACCATGTCAGATACAGGTTTGTAATTGACCGCTATCTGCATGGCATGTTACCTCTTGCTTGTAAAGACTTTCAAGCTGCAAAGTGCAATAAAGAGAAATGAAGATGTATTGCATAAAACAAATTATTTGAATGGTAGTATCTGTGTAAATGCTCAATCTCTGGACGAGATTCTGCCTGGTTCTGAAAAAAAACCAGCTAACAACTACCATGACTCCATAACAGTTTACCAGTTGCACAAATGGCTGGCTACCAGTACCACCACTGACTAATGATGGTGGGAGCCAAACTGCTCTTACAGATTAAATCTCATTAGTATCACCTGAAAATACATTTGCAATATTTCGTATACATGGTGGTAAATTAAAAACTGATCATGTCTTCCGAAATTGTAGCACATTCCTACACTATGTCTTGGAAAATTCTTGGCACTACTAAAAACCTTCTGATAACTGAAGTGCCTTAATATGAACTTTTAATTGCCTAAAATCAGGCTCTCACTATTTCAAAGTTAAAATTTCACTGATGGATCAGTTCTGCTTTCTGTTGGCAGAAAGAGAAATTAATGACTTTGACAAGAGTGTTAATGAGTTTTGTTAGTGTTTAAGTCCCTTCCAACCTAAATCACTGCATGTTCCTATGATAGCCAACGGTGATAGAAGAGCGGAAAAAATAATTAAATGTACAAGAATAGGAGTTGACTAACTCTTCCAGTAGGGGGAGATGTTCTTTTAATGTTTATCAGCAATTAAAAAGTGCTAACCAATTTCCCCTTGTATCTTTTTAACAAAATCAAGCTCATAAGAGAAATCAGTACATGTGCCTTCGTAGCGATATTCTTCAAAAGCTACTTGTATGGAAATCAGAAAAAAATACAAAGCTCACAGCAAACGCCTGTAAGAGAAAAAAATATGATGATGGAGCAAGCTGTCCTGACAGCCATCAAAATCAAAGAAGCCCTATTCCTTTTCAAAACCAAAGTCTCTCCAACAGCAAAGTTTTTTTACCCACACAATAAACATAATTTTTAGATGCCAAAGATGCTGTAAATATCATAGACCAAGAAGGAATAAAAGGATTCAATTTTTCAATTTAACAATACTCAATATTTAAAAATAAAAAACAAATTGTGTTGCCTTAAATGCTTCCTATATCTCAGAACAAAATCTAAGCTGTGTTTTACTCCTTATTTCCAAATTTATTTTAAAAACTTTAATGTCAGAAGTAATACTATCTCATGTCACGCCATAATTCTATTCTCCTCCTTAAGCCACTTTCTTTTACAAACCTTCCTGAGAATCGGAGAGGTTCCTGAGCGGTGCAGGTTACCACCTATTTTCTATGAATGCAGCTCACTGTCCATTATGTTGCTGTTCACCATTCTTCCAGTCGTGCCACTGCAACTGGGGATGATGACATAAATCGGATGTCTGAAATTTTTACTACTCTGATCTGAGTAAAAAATACAATACTCTCACTCTCGCCTTCCTCCCAAAACAATTATTTTTTGACTCATATCATTTCTATGATCCCCTTCACTTGCCTCAGTACAGCTGAAGGCGCAGCGAACTGGGATCATGGCTAGAGAAACACCTTAATCTGCCTTTGTCATCAGAGAAATAGCTGTGGAACTACACTACAGGGCACTTTTAAAGCAATCATGGTGAGAGCAGAAATTCCGTTTATTAAAAAAGGCTGGGATTTATCACCGGTACATTCAGATGTCTATACATCTGAGTTATTCCTGAATAGCCTGTACCAAAATCAGAACCCAAACAGGGAGAATCTGGGACTTTAAATTCAAGCTTCCAAACCAACCGAGACGAATATGGGAAGACAGGTGCCCATTTCAACTAGATGAACAATTCAGATGCAAGCATGTACAGGAGGGGATATTAACCTGATGAGCTGATTCTTCCCTAGTCTGCCTAAACCGAGGTGAGTTAAATAAAGCCTCCTTGTATCTCTTTTACAACACTTCTGATTGGTACAGTTAGAACCACTTCAGAAAGAATAACATTATTTTCCTCATTTCAGGCACAGGAAAATGAGGTATTAATAGGTTTGCCAAAGTCAGACAGCAGCTTTTGCCAGAATCAGGAAAAAAATGCAAAACAGTCTGGATTTCTAGCTGCTAGTCTTGCTAAGTGGACCGAAATCATCACGGCTGGTAAGTACCCAGCTCATCTCCCACCTCTAAAATTGCCTATCAGTAAATCACTCCACTTCATACCTGCTGTATCTTCAAATGCTTTGGATACCACCATTCTGAAAATGGATGCCGTTTAACTTTCACAGCGCTGAGAAGAGACTCACCTGCAAGTACAACTCCAAGCCTTGCCGTCGCTGCTCCAGAACCCTGGGGACCCAGTTTCTCACATGCTTTGAAGGGATCTCTGGAGTTCTTATGAACTTCTTGAGCTGCACATGAAAAGTAAAGCAGACAGAAACAAGGTATAATAGTGTCCCTTTAAAGTAAACATGTTCATGAGAGATGAGGCAGTACAGGTAAAACAATCAGCACAAAGGACAACAGCAGGGCAATGAAGTTACTCACCATCAGCACACTGAAACTACAGCAGACTTCACACCTACAGGTGGCAGTTAAAAATCTCCACGTCTAGCTGCCCTGGACAATGAAGTTAGTGTTTACTAACACTTTGTTGTGACTAACAGCCTTAAAACAAACTGGCAACAACTACATGAGAACAGGCGAAATGAGTTCCCTGTTAGCCAGCCTGGGATGACACCCCACAACGTCACCGTGCAGTACCCAGATATGACCTTGCTAAGTGCAGTGACAAAACAATGTGACAATTTCTAGGTCTGGATTTAGGCAACTATGAACAGGCGGGAGGAGTACAGGGAGGAGATCTAACCATCCCTCTGGAGAGCTGGCGATCAAAAGAGCAAAATATCCGTGCTCTCAAACTGCACCAACAGATTGCCAGCTGTGTTTTAATATCTTATACAGAGAAACAGCAAGATTGCCACTGAATGTACTTCCAAGAGAGCTCCATAACTACTCCTCCAAAGATTCCCACAGAAAGCTTTTATAGATGTATACGGAAATGTGTACATGCGTATACACAAGTGCATATAGATAAATGCAAACACACATTCTGACAACACTTAAGAATCCTCTTGCTGGAGCAACATATTTTTTCAAAACCAAAAAATTTTAATGTTTTCCTCAATACTACAAAGCTAAAATAATAACTGCAATAGACTCCACTGCATTTTAATATGAGGCAACATTAGACATTCTTTCTTTTGGATATTGCCTCTGAGTAAATCTGAGGCAACGAATGCAAGGAAAGAAACTCAAAATTGACTTTGACATGCATACCCATGGGAGACTAAGAATTTACATTTCATCTCTGAGCTTGCTGAGATGTCACTATAGGAAAAAGCAGTGCCAACATATCAACGTCGCTACAATCACAAGTAACGAAGCCGCAGCAAGGAAACCTCAATTGCTCTGGAAACATCTTGCAACTTCTTTATTTCTTAACAGTGCTAAATTACAATTAAATGTGAAGTGAGAAAAACAACATACCAAAACAAAACTCCAAACCCATGTACTTCTACTGTCTGATCTTAAAGCCAGAATGTAAAACCCCATTTTTTCCTCTAAATTGGTTGAGAATGTTGAAAAAGCTACGGTTACAGCTGTTGTGAACTATGACAGCACCTGCAGATGAGTAACAAATGAGGAGAATGTTCCAGATGAGGGGAGACAAATTTGAAACAATACAGGTGTCCACCAAGGTCTAGCTGCTTACAAGATAACTACCGTGTGGCTGGTACCTCAGCTGATGATTAACAATCATTTTGTGCTCTGGGGCTCTGTTATATACAGCATCAAATAAACAACTGCTTAAATGTGCAAGCAGAGGTACTGTGTGTAGGTGTAAAGCACATACTACACAGACACACAAAGAATAAATGATAAGCCCATTTTCTTATGCTTACAGTAATCCAATAATATGTTCAACAAACAATGATTACAACGTCAAAGAATATTCCGCAAACCCACGAATGTGCCAGCTATATTGCTTCAGACCTGTCCCCTACACAAGAAGTATTTATTGGGGGACAATTATTGCCTGTAACACCTTCCTGTCCATGACACTGACCTAATGCTTATTTGACATACTGTTAGTCTCTGTTTCCTGCAAGACTAAAAGATGGCTCAAATTATCAAGTAAAGAATTATTTGTCCAAGTGTGAAAAGTCAATATGATTTAGAGTAGACACTAATAATTCTAAAATTATAAATAACTTGCAAATAAGATGTATAAAACTTAAGATTTTTGCAGATTTCACTGCAGTCTTTGTACTACTGTCACGTTCTAGCATTCTGGTGCTTAAAAAGAACTAACAATATTTAAAAATGTAAAGAGAAAAAAGTATAAAAAGGAATTAAGGAATAAATATAAACAAATGGTGGTATTTTTAACTACGTTATATACACAGACAGAATTCAATTATTTCTAAAAAACTCTCCATATGAGAATAATAAAACTTTTGTTCAGACTTGAATACAATAATGTAATGTGAATGGTGCATAACCTGAAAGGCCTGGTTTGTCCTTCACAACCACAGCAAAGTTTAATGGCCTATGCAAACTATTTCAAAAAAGCCAACAGCAGTGGATGTTTTCTGTCAAGGGAATAATTTTTACTCCTGCTGTAGCATGGCTGTCTTGAAAAGATTTTAAATCTTTTCCACTACAGTAGGATTGCGCAGGAAGTGGGGCTTTACTTTTTTTACATAAATGGAATGTATGAAAGGTTGAACCTAAGAAGGAGACAAATCCAGTCATGTTCTTGCAAACAGTTTTGTTAAAAAAAAAAAAAAATCAAAATTAATCAAAACATGAATTTGCATTCTGATGAACGAATAATGTCCTATATGAGCAGTGGAGTCCTCCTTCCTCCACGAAATACCAGTGGAGCATGTCCTTCTCCAGTGAAAGGCACAATCTCCCCTTCAGCCTCTATTCCCATTTTCTACCACAGTTGTTCTCTACAGAAGCTTTTTTTTTCCCTGCTCACTACAGACATCTCCCACACTAAGGGCACCTTGAATATGCAGTAAGTCTAAAGATACCTTTCCAATTGCCATGTACTCACAGCAATTTAGAGTGAAACTTACATCTTAAATTAAAGGGGAAGAGAGGAACGAAAAATAAATAACGTATTGGCATGCTGAAAGCAAACTGGTATCTGGACCTGAGTATAAATAGTGTCATGGGATGAGAATAAATTGTTCACAAAGAACAAATGAGTTCAAAATATTCTCCAGTAAAAACTGCTCAAATACACACCCAACTCTTTTAGGAGCATTGAGAATTTCTGCTCTAACACAAAACAGAGAGGAAAAGAAAGAGTGAAATCGCATACTGTATTACCAGAGAATGTTTTCTCCAGGATTTCTGTAATGCTGAGAGCACTAAGAAAGGTTCAGATCACGAAGTGTTCAACCACGTTTACCAAAATTTTGCTACAACTTCAAAAAGTAAGACTTAAGAAAAGAGGTATATTGTTGACAAAACAACAATATACCTGAGTGCTGAGTGCTTTGCATCTGTACAGGGAACAAATAAGAAAAAGTCACTATCAAGTTTACAGAGTAATATAAACAGACAGCAAGCAGATGAGGATCAAGATGAAACAAAGTGAAGAGTGGTGGAAAAGTCTGGTTAGAATACGTGTTTTTCAGGTTTGTTTATTTTACTGCTATTTCTGGAGAGAGAGAAAGGACCATCATTTATGGTTTTTATGGCACTCTAAGGAGAAATCTCTGCAAAAGGGAGCTACTGCAGAGGATGCAGTATACGAGAAGACAAATCTGAGAACAAGACTGCAGTCATTCGTGACTTTTGTGTAGACTAATGGTGCAACTCCAGAAATTACACTGAAATTAGACAACAATCAAGGGAAGAAGAAAAAGTGGAGGCATTCAATGCATTTTTTGCCTAAGTCTTTATTCATACTGATAGACCTTGGACTGTCCGGTCCTCTAAGTTGGAGGACCACGAGTTCGGGAACAGTGACTTTCCATCTGAAAAGGAACTACAGGCCAGTCAGTCTCACCTCTGTGCCTGGCAAGATCATGGAGCAGATCCTCCTGGCGACTATGCTAAGGCACATAGAAAATAAGGAGGTGATGGTGACAGCCAACATGGTTCACTAAGGGCAAATCCTGCCTGACTAATTTGGTGGCCTTCTATGATGAGGTTACAGCATTGATGGATAGGGGAAGAGCAACTGACATCGTCTATCTGGACTTATCCAAAGCATTTGATACTGTCCCACACGACATCCTTGTCTCTAAACTGGAGAAACATGGTTTTGATGGATGGACCACTCGGTGGATAAGGAATTGGCTGGATGGTCGCACTCAACAAGTTGTGGTCAACGGTTCAATGTCCACGTGGAGGCCAGCGACGAGTGGTATTCCTCAGGGGTCAGTACTGGGACCAGTGCTATTTAACATCTTTGTTGGTGACATGGACAGTGAGATCGAGTGCACCCTCAGCAAGTTTGCAGATGACACCAAGTTGTGTGGTGTTGTGGATACGCTGGAGGGAAGGGATGCCATACAGAGGG